AGAAGTCCCAAAATTTCACTACTGCTTCCCTTTAACAAAAATGAAACAAAAAAAGACATTCTGCATTCACTAGTTATGTAGTCTGGTGTACTATGGCAAAGTACCTTGACACTATGCATGGTGTAAGACCCTATATTATCAAAAATATGTATTTTATTGCATAATACTTCAGGATAGCTAATTCTAAAGAATATGCATTGCGATTGCCTTTGCTTTGCTCTCAGTGGGAACTGAGCTCTAATCCATTAAACTTCATTCTCTGAAAGTCCTAAGAATTAAATCTCAAAACTGTTAAATATGAGGTTTTCTCCAAGTAAGGACATTCATTATATTAAACTGTATTAAAACTTGCAGCTAGATTTGTGCTATAGACTAGAGCCTGTCATGACCACCATTACTGAAGTGTTTGAAAGAGCATAAGAATGTTTGCTATTCATATTTTAAAAAGGCAAACCTAAACTTTAAGAGACCTATTGCTAAGGCAGACTTTTTCCTCAAGTATCATACTCTGTTCTCTTTAGTTACATGTGCCGATTTTTAACAATTCAAGGGAGAATTGGAAGAGTACAAGGAACTTTTCAGTCTTATATTAAGTGAGCAATATTGATTATGGACATCTCTTGTGACACCTCATGTCATGGAAGAAATATGGTACATACTTCTTTCCATACTAGTTTGTACTATTTAATTTCCTAGGTTCCACCACTCTACCTGCTGCAGTTCAAATACGTATCTTCATGTCCGACAGGCAATTAAGTATGTGTTTATGGACACCAGTATCACAGTTAAGTATAGAAATTACCTCAGCTGCAGCAGTTTTTGAAACAAAGTATTTTAATTTTCTCTTAATTAGCATTATTCATTTGTGGAAAAGCACAGAACAAGGACAATACAAACCATTTGCATTTTGATCATTTTTTTCATTAGCTCAAAAGAGCTGACCTCTTAGCAAACCAACCAAATCTGGGTATCTTTTCTGTTCTGACAGCCAGCACAACAGACTTGGACAGTGGCTTCAGCCAGACCTGTAAGAGGATGAGTTCAGAAAGGGTCACCATGAACTTGTGTCTCTCAGTGTGCTCATAGCCCCAACTGTGAAGGAAGGAGAGACTTTACTGGAGAGACTTAACAAGGAGAGACTTTACTGGTGCTTGTGAAAGATACCAGTTTTTAGAGATTCAGATCATGTATGTACATTATAATACATACTTCTTTAGAGCAAGGTCAAGTACCCCACAATCACTAACTGCTGCTTTGCAAATATATATGGCTTGTTTACAAATTTTGTATAGTTTTTAATACTTGGAACATCTGAACTGCAATATAGTTTAATTTAAGAAAAAAAAAAGAGGAAGAAAAGAAAAACAACAGGCAGAACGGGCAAATTTTACAGAAATATTTCTATACATGAGTTCAGCAAATTCAGATGGAAACTGAGAGAAGGGAGTGTAAAAATTGAATTATCTGTTATCTAATTTAACTTGGGAGTATAGTAATCTTTGTCTGATGGTGAGAAACAATAAGGCAATGATTGCTAGGGACTTAAAGTTTCCTTATGAAATACTGTCCTTCCTTATCACTGCACTTGGGGGGGGAGAAAGTTGAAAACATGCTGTACTTTTTCTTGTTTTGTCATGCTCCAAGTTTTCCCAAGCAGCAACAATGGGAAAGAAGAAAGTTTCAAACTGGTTTCTGTGGGGCTCTTGAAAACTTTCAGAAAGCAAAATAATCTTGGCAGTTTCACATTTGCTGCTCTTGCTATTAAAAAGACAAGGCAACAAGACATTAGTGCTGCTGATGCACGCTATTAATAGAAAAGGAAACACCCAAAAATAAAGAGGTTTAAAGGACAAAATGAAATAGCAGAGAAGTCTTTTATTGCAACCAGTATAGTTAACATACAACAAAAGCCACCAGAGCCCCTGTGCTGAGGGTTCTCTTCAGAGGGAAGTAAGCAAAAGAGAACAAAAGTAGCATTTATATATATATATATATATATATATATATATATGGAGATAGAGAGAGATAACTAATTTTGTATACAGAAGGCAATGCCTTGCTCCTAACATGAGCAAAATTAGCTTTTACTTGCTGTTAATTTTTCTCATTGGCTACAAATGCAGAGGAAAATGAGCTGTCAAAGGTTGTTTCCCATAGTATAAATGAGAGCACAGTCAGGTATATGTATGTTAATAAGCAGAAAGTAATGATCAGTATGCCCTTGAGAGCAGAAGCATTCCTTGAGGTCTCTGATAATCTGATGCTATACAGTATGTTGCCTTAACTATGAGCAGTTGAAATGCATTTATGAAAATAATTCTGCTTGTGCAGGGTCTCTCAAGCTATTGCAGTTCTACTCCTCCACCAGTATTGGAAATAACCCCTTTTTTTACCCATTTGTGACATGTACATCATTTATGTATGTACAATATGCAACAACTTTTCTAATGAACTGCAGTATTTCACAATACTGTTTATTGTGCAGTGACTACAAAGACCAATTAGATCATCATACTGCAGCTTTGTAGAGATGGAAGAACATATTTACATTAAAAAAAAAAAAAAGAAAGAAACCTTTCTTCTCACCAACTTTTTTCCCCAAAACAAAAGTATACTTTCTACTCAAATATGACCATTTTAAAACTGCATCCCAGGTACCAGTAATACATAGTCTACACACTTAAAGTTTTGCACTTTCTTTTAAACTATGGTTATCAGTGTGGAAATGCTTCCCACACCCATCTCCTCAGGCCAGATAACCACCAGATCCTTTGTTTTTGACTTGCATCTTCATTAACGTGGCTGATAATTCCAGAATGAATCTTGACAGCATTTGCTCCTTTAAGTAGTCTTTACCTAAAAAAGTACTGACAACCGACTAATCACCCATGGGCCTAGTGAGGAGAATTAAATCTCCTTGACTTAAAACTCATAACCTATTCCCATCTGAAGGTATGCGGCACATGAAGGAATATGACATGTGATTTTAATAAAATGTGTTTTTTTTCCATTCCGTCTTCTTTTTCTCATTTAAATGATCACTCCTGCTTTTAACCTATCTAAATGCCATGACACAGGCCAAGTGTGATTCAGAAGTTTTCATTGCTGTTAGCACATCCTTTTCTTGCTCAATAAAAATTTTCAAGTTGTCTTTCAGTTTATGGTTCTCTAAAAATGTCCTTAAGCTACTCCAGAAAACAGTATTTATTTTTAAAAAATATGTTTATTTGAACCTCTAGTTTGCAATCATTCGTAGGAAGCTTCATGTAGAAAGTAATGCTACAGTTCTGCATCAGCTTACCTGCTCATCCACCTGCTGACACATTCCTACAGGGCATTTCCGTTGATGTTTTCATGAGTTCTGCATGGTTTTTTGTCACCATGAGTTAGCAAATATGCTTTCCTTCACAGACTTTCAAAAAAAATAACAATCTAACATCCTAGCACATTCTACAGTTGTCATGACCTCCTGGCTGTTAAATGGATTAAAAAAAAATGCTCTGTAAGAGGCACAATTTAAACCATTTTTGTCCCCTTTGGAGGAAAAAAAATAGTACGCCTCTGAAACTTAAATGGATTTGAAGAACTTCAGTCATTCATTTTATGTTTCCAAATTGCTGGAAAAGGCTACATTCCTATCATTCCACTCAAGATTCACTCTATTACTACAATTCAAGATTCCTTTTTAGACAATATGCATGAATAAATCATGTCTGATAAGATACATTCAGTTACAAAGAATTAAATAAGTTAGGCGGGGAACAGCATATACAAAAAAAATGTTTTCCAGAATACAAAACTATTAAGGATTGATGACAACTGATGAAAAACTCACAGACATTTTGAATTTCTGCCTGCTAACACATCTTTCTTTCTTATGTACTGTTTTACTGATTTGGTTCCTGAAATCTATTCTTTTTCGTCTTTTGTAGTTCTCTTAGTACCTGCCTCCAGGAAAGAAATTGGCAACAATGCTGGTTGCTATTGACTCTGACTTACACTTTCTCAGTAAAACTATTCACTAAGAGTTAGAGGGATGGAGTAACATGAAATATTTCATTTTTGCCATAAGGTTAACTGCTTAACAAAGGTGCTTCCAGCACCTGTTCTGCCAGCACATGAACATTCAATACAATGAGAATAAGAAATGGGGCATATTCCATTGATAAGTCTTTATCTGTATGTCATTGCATCCAAATCCACAGGAATTCTTACATCATGTATCTGATTCCACAACAATGAAATAACCCATTCTATACATTACAGAAAGGGATATGACTTCCTTAACTTTAACCCCAGTCTCTTTCAAAGTGACACAATACAATTGCACAGCCTAACCATCTTGCTAAGCAGATCTATTTTTATGCAGCTTCTTTGTTATTGTATCTCAGTGCCTACTTTTTAAACTCAATCTAGTTTCGCTGCTGGCTGAGCTTACAAGTGCTGCCACATGTCTCTTTCAAAGGTAAATATAAATATATGGCTGAGTGCAGTAGCAACATAATGATACAGTGTTAAAATACGCTGGACAACAAGTCTGAAAGAAAACAAACAAACAAACAAAATACACATCTGTAGAACAGCTCAGGCGTGACAACTTCCCACAGACACACACCTGTATGGCAAACTGTTTGCAAGCTGCGCATCACCCCTGACACGCGTCTCTGCCGTACACAGGGCCAGTCAAAGGAAACCAGGTACCAACTTGACTCAACGCCTGGGAGAACTGCCCGAGTTTATTAACTCCGTCGTGCGCCCACCGCAGCCTCCCCGGCAGAGTCCCCGCCAAACTACCTGTAACACAGCCCCTATTTCCCACCCTGCCGCCTCGCTCGCATCCCCACGCCGGCCCCTCCTCGCCCAAAGCGCGGGCGCTGCCTTCCCACCCTGCCCCTCCCCGAGCCCCCACTCCGGGCAGCGGGGGAGCCGCCCCGCCGCCCCCTCCTTCCCTCCCGCCTTCCTTCCCCCCTCCTCCGCGGGCCGCCCCCGCCGCCACTCACCAGCTGCGCGCCGCACACGGCCACCAGCGTGCACCGGCCGCTGCAATAGCCCATGGCTCCCGGCACCCCGCGCCGCCGTCCCGCGCCGCGCCCACTCAGGCGGCGGGAGAGCACCGCCCGGCCGCCGCCCGGCTCCCGCCTGCCGCCGGCGCTCCCCAGCCCGGGACCCGCATGGGGGCGCGCCCGCCGCCCTCAGCCGCGGCCGCAGCGCCCGCCGCCTCGGCGGTGGCGGGCAGCGGGGCCGGCCGCCCCCGCGGAGGGCGGCAGCGCCGGGGAGAGGGCGGCGGCAGGTGCCTGCAGGAGCAGCCGCGCTCTGCCGCGCAGCCCCAGAGGCATCTGGGCTTCAAAGTTTGCCCCCTCAACTCCGCTCGCAAACCATCCGGGCTCGCAGCCGTCTGCGGCGGGGGGAGGCGGGGGGAGGAGGGGAGAAGGGAGGGAGGGACGGACGGACGGGGAGGCGAGGCAGGCGGCGGCGCTAAGCCTCGGTTCACGCTCGCAGAGCGGCTTCCCTCCTGCCCACGGCATAGCTGCTCCCCCGCCCGCCTTCCTCCTCCTCATCCTCCTCCGCCGGTAGGGCTCAGGCAGCCCCGGCTGTGGGAACCCCTCTCGCGGGAGGGCGCGGAGAGGCAGCGCAGCGACGGGGGGCGCCTCCGCTTTGCGCGGGCGCGGCGAGCGCGGCTGCACCTTCCTGAGCGCCTTTGTCTCGGCGGGACGGCTCTCCGCACCCACCCCGCCTGGAGCTCATCCGCACCGCACGGCGCCCGCCGCAGCCCCGCCGCCGCACAGGCACAGCCCCTCCGGCAGGGTGCGGCGGCGGGGCACGGCCCGGCCGCGCTCACGGCAGCGCAGCGGAGCGGGGCCCGGCCGCGGGCGCGGAGCGGAGCCGGCGCGGCCGCAGCCCCGCGGTGGCACGCGCGGCTGCCGCCTGGCGGGCCGCGGGCGGCGGTGCAGGGGAGCCGCCGCAGCCGCGCTGCCTCCGCCGCATCGGCACCGGGGAGAGCTCCCCGGCACCGCCGCGCTCACCCGGCCCCCGCCTGCCCGCCGCACCGGGGTCGCTGCCACCCTGCGCAGAGCTCACAGGCGGAGGCAGATCAAAGGAGTCTGACCTGGAACACTGGGAGAGGTCCGAGACAGAGGACAGGAGCTAGAGGGTGATGACAGGAAAAGAAAGACAAGACTGGTCCTATTTAGAAAAAAAAAAAAAATATTAATTGGTGTCAGGGAACTGGTTCTGCCCACCATTATGATGAGCGTTTGTACTTAGTGACTTGATCCAGCCTTCCTCTGCTGTTAAAAGCATTCAGAATACATCAAGTTGGTGGGAAATTAGGTGTCAAGATCTGGTGTGTCAATCAGCCTCCAAAGGTTGTTAATTGCTGTGTCATCACCAACCACCTTGACATTGCATTTGGACCAGGTCACTCTTACTGAGCTGCCCGTTAAACAGAAGTAGTTTTATTCAGGATGTCAACAATTATGAACTGGAGGAATGTCACTGGGTTTCCTGAGCACATGTGGATATTTGTAATATCCATGCTAATACCCTGTAAAACCGGAAGCTCTCTGGGAGCTTGGAAGCTCTCTGGGAGCTTAGAACCCCATGTAGCTTGCTCTCACTTTATAAGCAAATTTGTGAAAATAGTTGGCAAACTGTCTAATTAGCAGTTATGACTCCAAAACTTCTTATAATGTAATGAGGGAAGCAAAGCACACACAAAAGTGACAGTGTTTGTCCTCTGCTCTGTAAGTACATTATTCTGACTATCAGCCTCTATGCTGTCAGACACAGTATGGACCAGTCAAATCTCTGGGCAAGAGGAATACCAAACACAGAGGTCATATTCACTTCAGGATCTAAAGAGGCAACTACTAGGAATAGCCATAGCTGAGAACAAATAAAGCTGTGGAACAACTGAGGCTTAGAAAGCAGGGATGTCCAGCAAGTGGCAGACTCTGAACTCAGTCTTTCTTGGCTTCTTCATGCTTGCACTTAAAGGATCACAGAATGGGTAGGTTTGGAAGGGACTACAGTGGATCATCTGGTCCAACTCCCCTGCTCAAACAGTGTCATCCTATAGCACATGGCAGAGGCAAGAACAGTGTGTCTCATTATCTAAGACTGGGAGCTGGGAAGCTAACAGAGAGGGCAGATTGTACTCATTTGGACTCTTGTGAGGAAACAAACAGCTCTCTCTCTGTGGCCATAACTGATCTGGTTGTTCATTACAGTGGGAGGTTTCATAAGGAAAACATGGGCAATAGTGGAAGAGCCCAAAATGAGCTTCATGGACTCTAACAGCTTCCCAAAGCTCCCTGGTCTTTTGTCTTCTCAACACCTTCTCCTATACCTTTGCATTGTAGTAAGAATCTCAACTTGTTTGCCTTCTCCTAAGTACCTTTAAAGTAAATGTGCCCATTTCTGTGCTGTTATCCACTTCCCCCTTGTCTGTGGCTTATCTGTCCACACAAACTTCCTTTTCTCCATGTCACTTTTATCTGTTTAATCTCTTTTATCAAGAGGACTCGAAGTGAGACACAGGATTGAGCTCTCATTGGGTAAAATGCTCAGGTCAAGGCCTTTTTGAGTCCAGTCTAAGCTTGTTCTTGGGGCCCTGCAGCTTCAGCATGCAGCAAAATCAGCTGTGTACACACAGCAATACTGGGGTTTTTTTGTTCCTACTTAGACTTAACAAAAGGCCTCTTATGTGTGCTCAGTGAGTAATTTCCAAACGTTCATAACTTTGTCAAAACAAAACCAATTTTCTTTGAAGGCAGGCTGTGCAGTGCTCTTCACTGAAGGTTATTCCATGCAAAACATTAACTTGTAGGTTACAGTGTTTTCACCAGTTGATTTGTAATCATAAAGAGGTAAAAAAAAAAAACCAACAACCAAACAAACAAAAAAAAACCCCCAAAAAACCCACCAAACCAACCAAAAAAGCCAGATAAAACTAGGTTTCCCTGTTTCCCTTCAGTCTTCTCAATCAAGTGTAATTTTATTCCTGTTTCTATAACTCATTTCTGGGGGGAGGTCAGTTCCAAAATCTGTGACTCTGTCACTAATGACTGGAAACACTGATTCAATTTGCACTTCCAATTATAGGAGCTCATTGCTAGTGCCTGTACACCCAGGATGTCTGCTCTTTGGAGACGAGAGGGGAACACACATTTGGCAGCATAATGGTGAAACCTGTGTCCCCTGGAGTGTCTTCCCTGTGATTTGACAGGACTTACTAACTGGTTTTAAGCCTAACCCTAGCCTGCTCCTTCCCTGAGCCTGGAGGAGAACCTGGGCAAAAGGGGAGCCCAAGGAGGGCTGCAGCTACCAGCCTGCTGCATCCAACCAGCAGCCACAGAGGAGAAAAAGGACTTGGGAGAACAAGCCACAGGCCAAACAGACTGGCAGGAAGTGGCTTATGGACCATAGCTTCTGTATCCCTTTCCTTTAATAAAACTTTCATGTGAAATCGGTTTAGCCAGGACAGTGTGTGTTCAGCAGCACATCATCCCAAGCATTCCAGCCATGTAGGAGCTTGCTGCTGCCAGCACCACCTCCCCAGGCTGTCCCAGGTGCCAGTAAATCAGCATGGACTCCTACCTACTGCATCCATTCTCATATCAAACCAGCCTGAAAATGCTTTGTAATTGATAATGTTGTCATCAACAGTAAACGGAAAATATTATTTCAATTTAACCAACACCTTGTTAAAAGAGCAGATCTTGCTGTGTGACGTGCATGTTGACTTTCCGAGGAAAGAATCAATTAGGGGGGAAAAAAGAAGTGATTAAAACATAATACAAAATTATTGCAGGCTTAAGCACACTGCAATAAAAATTCTATTCAAACTCCAAGACTGTAACAGTATTAAACCATTTTTTTGAACATCATCTCTACCATGAAGATTGAATGTCAGGTATTTTTTTTTTTACCTCCTGCAGGATTTCAAGACTTGATTGCCCAAATGACAGTTTACTTATTTTACTGTCACATACTTTTGTGAAATGCCATAACAAGTTGATTACAGGTTTCACATTTTGCATAGTGACAAAATCATCTGTCATATAATAGTCTGATGCCTGAAAAACCATTTAACTACGAAGCAGTTGCTACTGAAAATAATGATATTTGAAACATTAAGTGGGTTTAAATGTGTACATTTTCTAAGTATGTCTTTGTTTTAACTGAATGAGAAGAGCAGTGTTATCCCTTTCAGGCATGAATTTAAGACTTGTAAAAGTCACCAGACAACAACTAGCCAGAGGGTGAGATAAATTAGGAGGGGCATCATTTCATGAATGAAATGAAAAATAGAAATGGAAAGCCTAGTGATACATCATAGCTTCTGCAAAGATGAAAAGTCGTTGGCTCTTATTTTCAAAACCTGTTATTCCTACCAACCTGTGCTGGAGATCTGAGGCCATGTCATGCACTCTGGCTACTGGAAACAGAAACAATCTCCCTTTCCCTTATGGAGGGAAATATTGGGTCTCTGGAACTGGTGTGAAGAAAAGAATAAGATTTTACTTTCTTATTCAACAATATCCATACCTTAGATGAGATGTAAGTAATAGCAGTAATAAGGGTCATCCATTCATTTAATGTATTCAGTTTCTTGACTGATTCTAAGTGACTAGATTTTGGAAATAATGTGATGTGTCATTTACTTAGCAATACTAACCAGTAAGGGAATTTTCTGGGTATTTTATTACTGGCAATGAGTGGATGAAGTAATGGTAATAGTAATCTCTCTTCTCATGTGCAGGCAAAGGACAAGCCAGTTTTGAAAATGAAAAGGGAATAGGATGGAAAAGCTCAGCAAGCTGTTAGATTGAATAAGAAAATGATGTGTCCCTGGCACTCTGTCATATACTGACTTTGTAGACAATACAGCCATCACATACCTTCCATTATGAATACTGGTAGAAAATCATAGTGAATTATACATGAGGATGAATACTGAACCTATCTGGAGGGGTGCTGCACCCAGGTGCTCAGCACAGTGGGCTGCAGCACAGGGTAAGACCAGAGATCAGCAGAGTAATGTCCAAGGCTGTCTGACCTTCCTGAGCCACCAACTGCAGCACACCACAAGTGGCAAAAACCCTGCTCTGGGGCCACAGACCAATGGCAGCCAAGTGCTGTCACTGCATCCTTGCTGCTGAGTTTGCTTTCCACCCAGGATGAAGAGACATTAAGGATGCAATAGCTTTGGCGTTTTTCAAACTGTTCCACCTTCTGTGGGAGAATGGGAAAAATGGGAATTGGAGGGGAGGAGGAATTCCTTGCCATGTTGTCTTGCTTCACAAAGGAGCTTGGTTAACAAAATTGTCAGCCTGAAGGCTTATCACTGCCCTCTGTGGACACAATTTGCACAATGTTTTTCTCACCTAACACTAATTTTCTGTGCACTTATTAGTCTTTCTGGGGGGGAAAAAAGAGTCTAATAATGCTTTCAATGCTTTATTTTTAGTCAATGTTTTCTCACTTGTGGACATTAAAGCATTGTATAGGTAATTTAATATTATTGATCCTACATTTCAGTAGATCTGCATACAGAGATTTGAAACACTTCATGTGCTAGGTACTTTGGACA